GTTGCAAATAGTGATTCTATTAATCAATTTAATTGTGAGATAATTTAAGATTGGAAAATATTTACGTAAAAGATTTCTATTATTCAGTAATAACTAATTAAATTTCTATAAATCGGACAAAAATAATTTCTAATGACATCAAATAAATTATATTAATATGAGAATACCATCTTATACTTATGTAGGAGATTCGCGTATAAAGTCTCCAGTGTTGGAGGCTGAGATGCTGATATGGAAGTATATGATGGAGTATATGTGTGATAGTATTCAGTCCATTGATGTCTCATGTTATCTGATAGGAGTTTATCAAAATTATCTGTCCACTTCGAGGATGCAGTTTTGCTATTATAATTATCATTTGAAGATTCCTTCGGAAATTGTTCAGATTTCATATGTGAAAAAAACTTATTGTTAACAAGATGTGAATTTTTGTCACAATCTTGTTGATTTTCCTGAGAATTCTCATCGAAATTTAACGTGCTCGGATTGGAAGAAAATTGCATAACACCTTGCATTGTGTTTTCCCTTGCATGTTCATCAGAGAACTGTACATTTTGTGGATATATGCCGAATAAACGTGGTGGACCTATTATAGGCTCAATCGTGATCTGACGGTTCTCCACATGCTTATCTGCAATTAAGTAGTTTACATTTAAAGTTCATATTAATATTGATTCATATTAATATGAATTTATATTAATATCGATACATTATAATTTACGTTTGCATTTCATTGGAATTCATATAATGCATATAAATTGGAGTTGCGCGACTTTCGCGGAAATAAATAGTACATAGATATTAAATTATCCTGGAGATATCGAACTTTATTTTTCTTTAAGATATTTACCATTAGTATCAGTAGGCTCTTGTTCTGGAAATAACGAGTCGGTGGCTTTAGGATGTTTATCATCGGTTAAGGGCGACTTCGAGGCCACATCATTGTCATGTGCAACGTTCGCAGATTCACTGGATTTCGTGTTTGTAGAATCGGAGTCAAGTGACCTTCTGTACCGGTGGTAGTGGTGGTAGGGACTACCCCAGTGGTAGTGTCCTATCTGAGGAAATGTCGTTTTAAAGAAATTTTCAATAAGTTATAGGATCAATTTGCATGTACAAGATCAGTAATTATAATTTACTCAAAGAAAAGCTTTTGTAGCATAATAACGTATATATTTATTGCACAAGTCAAATTGATATTAGGTTTTATATTTTTTACTCTTCAAATTAAATGAAATTTAAGATATCAATGATAATAAAATATTGCGAAGTCAAATGAATGAAAAATGATATCAAGTTAACAATGTGATGAGCACTTACCGAAGGTTGTCGATAACCGACGAATACTGAAGGTCGCGAATATCCATGGCTTCCTATCCTTGCATAATGTGGATGGTTCCTTGGTGAAAAATGATGGTACGGTGAATAATGATGAAATGGATGATATGGATAGCCCATCAGATTTGATGAATCTTTGGATTCATAATAGGGATACACCGTTCGAGCACTTTGAAGATACCGCAATTCGTGATTCGGTAATTGTTTCGTGTGATATTGTTCAGTTTGAGAATTTATTCGGTGCGAAGCAGGTTGCGTATAGTATGGATTTTTGCCAGAATGATCATAACCGGGTTGAACGATGACATCAGCAAGTACAACACTTGTTAACGAAATTGCCACTGCTAAGAACTGGAATAATTAAGAAAATTTTATCAGATTGTTTGTGAATAGATATTCACTACGATAGAAATTCAATACGATAGAAATTTGTTCCCTAAAGTATTTATGATATTTATTAAACAGTTTGAAATCATTAAGTGAGATTATATCTCTATAGAGTATTATTCTGCTATATATTATTATTTTTTTAATTTAAAAATTGAATAAAAAACGAAGAATAAAATACACAAAAGAAATAAATGCTTCATTGATCATTATGTATTAATTTCTACAAAATTTTTGCTTAATGTTGATAATATATAGTTTAATATATTAATAGTTTAATTATGAAAAGTTTTAACTTCAGAAATTAAAGGATTATAAAAATGTTAAGTAAATGTAAAATATATATCAGAAAAATTTACTAATTCTCGATACGGAAACATCATGGATTCTTATTGTTCTTGCTGTTCGTCCGAGACTGATACGATTCCTCGGTCTGTCAACTGTAAATACCCATAGAATCGCTGATGTTAGGAATTTCGTATATTCTGTAATTTGAGCAATTTGTGACTACTGAAAAATCGTTCGGGCCAAAAATACGAACGTCATCAAATGTTCTTTAAAAAACTATAGCATTACTCGTATTCGCATTCTGGAAACATCGTTAATGCAAATTGCTACATTTGCTAATTGAAAAAAAGCGCGTTCTCGCGTTATATCGTAAACGGCATGCGTTTGCTTAATAGTTAACTTGCGAAAGAACTGTAACGATCATCACGGTTCGTGTGGATTATTTGATTCGGAACTTCCGTTTATTGTAAAACGCACGCTTATCAAACCCAAATAATGATATGCACGTATGAAATGCACGAAATAGTACTTCCTCGCGAGAGTTCGTTGCACTTCGGGGCCAGCGCACCCGTAGACGTGCCCTGATTATTGTGTAAGTGGATAGTTGGATGCCGAGACGTTGATCTAGACTTCTTTCTCGCTGCGGGCCACTCTGAATATAAATATCACTAAGCAAGCTTTCGTCTGCGTTTTATCGTTATCTCGCGTTATAGCACGCGAAGTTTGAAATCAAGAGGTAAATTCCTGAAGCGATTTCATAATTTCCAGATATTACATAGTAATACCCACTATAGTGATACGGTAATATCGTGTTAAATTATTTCTAATATCTTCTGTAATATTAATATTTTTCAGAATGAAAAATCGTTTTCATAATATTGTATCGCGCTTATATGCGAAGTTTTTAAAGATGGGGAGTTAAAAATTTTCATCTTTATAATTGAATTTTAGATAATGATATCTAATTTTCTCATATTAATATGAAGTTTTCTAAATGAGAAAATTATTTTATGGCAATATACATTCAACTTTTAAAAATCGTAAATGTTATTATTATGAATATTTCAATTTTCTCTACATCTTCACGAAGCTATTGTAACTCGAAAAATCTGAAATATTTTACAGAAATTGGAATGTATTTTTATAAAATAATTCAATAGAAGATGATTTTAAGAGCATTCTATAAAACTTCAATATCAGCATAAAAATTTTTCAATGATTTATTTCTAGATTCTAGATAATTTTTTTACAAAGTATACGTTGATCTCAATGATCTCACTACGATACATGAAGATGAGGCACGATATGTTATTTTATGTTTTAATGAAATGGTTCAGGTTGCGTATTCGGTACGTGATGCCGGCGGCGCATCTGACGCTGCGCGAGGAGGATGTGGTGCGCCTGACCTTGGAGTTCCTCCATAGTCGTGACCTTCACATCTCGCAGCTCTCACTCGAACGCGAGACCGGCGTGATAAACGGCCAGTACAGCGACGATGTGCTTTTCTTGCGCCAGCTGATCCTCGACGGACAATGGGACGACGTGCTCGAGTTCATCCAACCGCTGGAAGCGCTGTCGGATTTCGATATGAGGAAGTTCACGTATTCGATCCTGCGCCACAAATATGTCGAGCTATTGTGCATCAAATCCGAGGCGAACGTTATCGCCGCGGGGACGAACGGCAGCGTCGATAATGCCGTAGAAGAAGTCGTCAAGGTGTTGAGCGACCTCGAAAAAGTCGCGCCTTCTAAGGAGGAGTACAGCAGCCTGTGTCTGTTGCTTACTCTGCCGCGGCTAACAGATCATCTGCAGTACAAAGATTGGAATCCCAGTAATGCGAGGGTGCAATGTTTCCGCGAGGTTCATCCTTTGGTAGAGAAGTTCCTGCCGGGTGATAGGAAGAGTGCCGACTCCGCATATCCAATTACCTCGGCGAAAAACGATCGGCTTATTCAGCTTATTATCAAAGGCATTTTGTACGAATCCTGCGTAAATTATTGTCAAGCGAAAGCTACTGGGTCGAAAGAAAGCGAACAGGTGATTTTCGTCTGTTCTTTTTGCTTTATTTTAATAAAGAATATTGAAAATTTTTCCAAACTACATCAAACTAAAATTATTTTTGCTTTTTATGTAGAGACGTAGATTATATCATTACTTAATAAAATATTAGATAATTTATTTATACGTGTTATATTTACATTTATTCTTATTCTTATATCGTTTCCTTACTTCAAAAGTGACGCAATTAAAAAAATTAAGTTTTTCAAAAAAAGAGCAGAACTATTTTTCAACTTGACAGAAAATTATTGACAATCAAACAATATCGGCAAAAATATACCTTAAAAACGTGATCTAATGTTAATTTTATCATTTTTATTTTATAACTCTTAGAAAATCATTCTTTTTGAGTTGAAAATTTTGATTCTACAATTTCCTACAAAATTATTACAAATCTAGAATAATTTATTATATATATAAAAGTGACATAAATAAAAAAGTATATATCACCAACAGTTTATTTACTTTTATTAGCTAAAATGATTTAAAATAAAACAATTTCTTCTTCTAACTTAGATAAACAAAATTATCTTAACACTAAATGTTCTCTGTAGGAAAATTTTCTTTTTATTTACGAAAAATTTAATATACATCAAAAATATTATAATCCCTTTGAAAACGTTAAAAATAATATAAGTACTGTATGTATTGGATGGACTAAAGTTAAGTTAATTTACTTTTGATGATTGATAGAATAATTTTTACCTAACTCATTCATGATAATAACTCGAAAATTACACTTTTGAGTTATCACTTTTGAAGTAAGGATATATAGTACGCATTTTATTATAGTTTCATTTTGTTTAAATGTTTTATTTCGTACGTCTTCATATTATAGGTAGAGATGAGTTTTTCGAGATTACTGGATGGATCCGTGGGTTTTAGCGATTCGGACTTAAGTTTACTTTCATGGCTTCAAAGTATACCTCCTGAGACGTTCGCTGTACCCTTTGCACAAAGAACCCTGAATGTCGATGTGGAGCGCTTGGAGAGGCCCTCCTTGGAAACTTCGTGGACGGAGCATATGTTGATAACGCCGATCAAACCGAAGACTTTTCCACACAGCGCCATGCCGTTTACTAGGCCGAGATCCGCCGCAGACATGATGTCTCGTAGCTTAGTGCCGGCTTTGGAAGCTGGTCTCGGGCCCAGGAGTCCTAAGAACACATCTATACCATCAGCGGCGCTTATGGCGCTATCCGTCGGCGACGTAAACCCGATGTCCAGGTCGTCGTTCGCTAGCTTCCATTTAACCGGATTCAAAAACAACAAATTAATGAATACTAGCGTCGATAGACTCTTCGAGAATGAGGGTGACGTCTTCCTTAGCTCGAATTATGCCGAATTTCAACAATTACCCTCAATACAAGAAACCGCGATGAATGCTCAACCTAAGGCTCCGCCGAGGACTCGAGGACATTCCAAAAGCCCTGATGGTAAGATTATAAAATATATTTTATATTTATAAATTTTTATAAGTCATTTCGCTTTGTGCACAATAGAATATCATAAATATTAAAAGATTTGAATGAAAAAAATGATAGATCTTTTATCCTAATCATGTAATATATGTTTAACAATATATGTTTGATTATTTCAATTAATTAATTTAATTTTGATTAATTTTATTATTTCCACGACTGATGAATTTATTAAATGTATTGTTCTGTATATATGTATAATTCCATCATATAAAAAGCTAAATTATCTCAAAACTCTATAATTTTTGTAATGTAGGCGTGGAAATGGATCCTTCAGCGACATCCACGCCGGAGCGCAGAGTTGCTGGAAGAGAATCACCGGCGCCTTCAACTGCCAGGAGTTCCAGAAGAGATTCCTTGGCGGAAAAGCCCACGGGAGTTGCAGCTAAAATTACAGACCCATCCTTGATACCGATTAGAGCGATGGTGACTCCTAGCGACAACCTCGAACAAAGTTACAATGGTGGCCTATTTAAAGAATACCAGAAACAGAAGCAAAGGTTGCAGGAGACTATTCAACAAAAGGAAAGGGAGAGGGATGAATTAGTCAGACAATTAGCTGTACCGTTACCTATGCATGTAGCAGATAATAGACTTCAAGGAGAAGGGTGAGTGATTTTTTTTAATTACATTTTATTCAAAAAATAATTTCAACGAAGAATCATAAAGATATGTGATATTTATGATTCTCAAATTGCCAGAAAGATAATATATTTTCGCTTAATGAAGCAGAGAACAAGGGGTTTAAGATATCATGCGATATTTTTTAAATGGTACTATTTAATATATTTAATATATGTACTGTCCGCATATTTAATATATGTACTGTCAGTATATGTCTGCCTACATCGGTCCTGTTGCATCGAATGCACCTAATGAAAAGTTGGAGCTCGTTGCATTCTCCGACAGATGGCGATAGCGAAATGCCTTTGTCGCGTTATTATGGTAAAACGCGTGCTGAGAATAGCAGCTTAGATGTAGACTCCGATGAAGTGATGATTGAAATAGACTGTTACCCTCTCGCGAGAATCGGTAGAAAAAACTCATTTTGACTATTTTGGTTACTTCTAATTTTTCAAGCTAAAAGAGCTCTTAAAGATATTCTCGAAAGATGAATATAAAGATCTGTATAAAATTCATAGAATCAATTATTCCAAAAATCTCTTAAATCATTCAATAATCGTAATATTTAAAATAAATTTGGCAAATTAAAAATTGATTAAATATTTAAAATAACTCATATGAAAAATATTCTAAGAATTCTTCGAAAATTTTAATTTTAATTTTTTTTTTAAATTCAATTAAAAGACTTGAACACATTGAAAAATAAATTGTTCAAATTCCATACTTCCTGTATGGTTTTTTAATGAATATCAGTTCGATTTCAGGAAATAATTTTAATGCTTGTTTATATGCCATTTCGCAATTGATTGAAACAACCTTCGAGAAAGCGAACGTTGCTCGCACAAAGACCAGTAATCGAAATCGGAATTCAATCATGGTTCATTGGCATCAACTGCTGACATCGTGTTCGAACCGGATGCCGGATGCATTTGTACAGCAAAATGGTGACCGTACAATTC